ACGATCTACCATCAGGACCGGGTGCAACCCACCGCCTCTACGCTAAATGGATCACCCACTCCATGCGGCATCGAGGCCAGGTGGGATGATTGTAAAAAATGGTTTGACCGTATCTTCGCACGGATGCTTGAGCGTCTGCCGTAAAAGTTTATCTACCGCAACAAGTAGAACAAGGGACTAATACACACCAACGTTCAAACTATACTACCTACTTGCCTTCAGTCAAAGCCCAAGAGTTTAGGGGTGCCAGCAAGACCGCGCTTTAATGCCTGTTGATGCCATTTGTAGTAGTGTCAAATTGACTACGACACAATTACGCCTGCTGAATGGACTCGATTCAAATCGAGGCGGAGAGCGCATTTCGGGGTGCACCATGCTGTGTCGGGGCTTTCTTTGTGCCGGATCAAAGCGCGAGGAGGTAGGTAGGATAAGTCTGCACTCTAGGACTAATTGCATGCTTCTCCTTGATACGCTGATTGATATACCTCTCCTGCGATAATTGGCCACATGTAGGCTGCATCACAGCGCAGAGGTCATCGGAAATGATCGCATGTCACAAGTGTCCATTGTAGCCTCAAAGTAGCTGTTCAAGTGTCGCGCTCTTCTTGTCGCTCACCGGTAGTTCCCTGGTTGTTCGCTCTCTCTTCGATGTCACTATCGCATCTTGCACTCAGTCATATGTGACTGTCTGTTACCAACACAGCCGTATTCAAACAAGGACTGGGGCTAGCACATCGTGAATCTCTATAGCCTGACATCAACGACAATCAGTTATTTCGCTCTAGGGGAATGGGTAATTGGAATCGAGTAGCCACTATCTCGGCACTTCCATGCCGCAACAGCAGAAAGGAAGTACGTTGGCCCACGTGCTCTTAGGCAAACAACCTCTGGATTTTGGATCGCGAATGCAGCACTTTGACCGCGCAGAGATTGGCCAAGATCCGACCTACCACCATTCAAACTGTGCTGCCACCCACCACAAAGCCAATAAGCGCGGCTAGAGATTCGCAATTTGATAAACGCGCTATGATTAGACATTTGCGTCGGAGTAGACTCTGACAAGCCTGAACTCTGCCGCCACCTTTTGCAACTGATCAGCCTACTCCTAAAAGCATCGCTACGGGCAGCATTAGAGGCGTCATGTGGGTGGAGCTGGGTCGCGTTCTGCCGTGTTGTCGTGTCCTATGTCCAAAAGATCTGGTAAAGATGATGTTGTTGCTTGTATCTGTACAGACGCTGTAGATTCACGATTATCAGATTGGAGATTAATGAATACGACATCGTGAGCGAGGTATGAGCAAGACAAAAACAGATATATACGAGAGGGGATAAGGTGCTCATTATGCTGCATGTTGTCACCGTAAATCGTATGTACCACTGCGTGCGTCTCTTAAGTCGACGTACAAAAGCAATTGGATTCATCCTACCAACATTTAGTAATAAGCGGTTTCTTGTTAATTAGTCGGAACGCACCATCAGTATGTGCACTTTGTATCTTTATATTTCACGATGTATTACGTCGCGAGTGAGAATCCTTGTGACATAAAAGTAGGTTGAGCTATTTACCGCTCGCCTTTTTGCTGTGGACGCTTGATATTGCTTACTTTTCGGTAACACGATAGACGCTCATAGCGTAAACAATACTGATGTTGTCCATTTCTTATTATTTGTAGTACAAGCAAAAGCTCGAATCTACTACCAAGGAGACGCAATACTAAGTGTTTTGGGGACTGCACTTCGAAAAGGCAATATGAGACATCACAAACCAGTCAGTACGATACATTTGGCAAACTGCATGTAATCGCATTCACAAGACATTTCAAATGTTGTGGATAACAAGTGCGCGTCTATATACATGTTGGTTTATTATGCATTGACGCTCATCTACATACCGACGGCCTCTTTTGTCCTGTTTCTAGAGTCATTCAGGTCTATGCCCAGCATGATGGTAGTCTCGCTACTCCCAATATTACGAAAAATATATACATAAGCACATGCAACAGCACCAACACACCGATGCTAGTTTCTCCAGAAAAAGATTTGATTCAGTCGCTTGCCTTTGCGTAGTCTCCAGATGTCTTGGTTCGTACCTTTAACGTCTAACACAGCACAGTTTACGCTCCATTTACATACGGCGCTGTCTCATTTTATTCTTGCATCACGTTACACCACTAAGACATCTACATATTAACATCAGCACATCTTATAAGTGGATGAAAGGGTTAGAAAAATCAACGTAGCAGGCACATCAGGAAGACATTTCCATTATAGGACTACGTTCAAAGTGCCTGCGAACCTTCTCCTTCTTGCAAATGGATTGGTGACAAACGCGAGTATGGTTAATTTTTTAATAATAACATGTGAGAGGGAACAAAGGAATATGTACATGTACATGCATGAGTTAAGGTTGTGTACATTCAGTCGTATAGTATACACCTCTGACACATTTTATTTATTATCGAATAATTTGCGTATTTTTACTAGTTTTCCGTCTTGTGGCGCATTTTTTTATTTTGATTAGCGCGACTTTTTTGTAGTTAAATTTAGCGCTCTTTCTATTCTCTTAATTTGTTATATTTACTGCTTAGTGCACTTTTATTTTTACATCCTGTGGCGGAGTTTTTCATTGTTGTGAATTGATTGATGCATTAATGCTTTTCCCTTCTTCAAATACCTGTAATGAAATGTTGTGCCTGTTCCGGGTTAAGCTGTCACGAGTCTAGCCGGATATGAGTGCTGCACGGTATTTTACATTGCCACAGCGCTTAGTTGCGTTTTAAACGATGTAAGGCCACTGCAACCGGAAGTTCAAGATATGACAGGTCGCCTGTAGCATTGTGAAGACGTATCGTTTGATTACAGGCAACATAAACATACTGTGGTACAAACACACACACGTATAGGAACGACTACAGCCTACGTTGTGCAGTCCTGCGTCACTGGCTCGCGGGCACACCAGATGTGCGCAATGCCACTACATGCGAGCACCGCCGTTGATGATAGCGTAGTTGAGTTTAGATAAGGAACGAAGCAAGTCCGAGTGATAGCAGGGGGACCTTAGCAGGCAGCCACAAAATGCAAAGGGCACTTACTCGTACGCCAAACGATAGCGTACATAAAATGAATCGTTGAAAGTGCTGTGCACCTATGCCACTACAACTTTGCTCATGAGCGACAAGCACATTGGATGCATACTCAGGGCAACATTAGAAGCTCAGAATGCAGCCTATTGCGCTTCCACGACTAGGCTCATCTTTACCCATAGCTTACTCCTATCGATGCTCAATACCGCATAAATCGACAAGATCAGTGCAAGGATGACTTGGTTTTCAGCACCATAATGGCCACTACAGCCTTCAGCGAGATTCCCATTGTATCAATTCATCATTCCTTGTCGGTTCATACATTACTAGCTAGTGGTCGCAATATCGGCAGCAGACATATTTGAAATGCGTTAGTGACGGAGAATCAGATAGGAGCGAAAGAGTTTGATCAACACTAGCCTTGGGAGCGTTCAGTTGAACTATGCATTTATCTGTCATCATCTTCTCAAGATCAATCAAAAGCAACGCGCAAGCTCAGTCGGAAGGCAGCAGAAAGTGACTTTATTCTCAGCAGCAACAAGTAGTCGCCTCAAGGTATACAACATTTCCTTTCCTTCATCACCGCTTTGATCAATCTACTCGAACATCTAAACGTACGGACTCAGGCAGTATGAATACAACAGCAGTCCACACGAAGCTATTGCTTCTCGGAAGGTGTCCTAAGTAATGTGTCATCCTCATCCGGTGTTGCAACTCAAGTGTTGCAGCTCGACAAACAAATTCTAGCAGCGGCATCTCGATATACACATATGATTGGATCGATCAAACTAGCACCGACGTCCTGGCAAAAGAACGAAGGGTCTTTCGGCTGTACTCAGCGTCGCTCGTATGGGGAAAGAAGCTTGTCCTATCATCTCGATCTCGTGTGAACAGTTGGTGGAAATATGAGTACTGCAGATGGCAAAGAGCAACAGAGGTCTATGGCATCGACGAGAGAAAACCATCCTCAGCCAGTCGTTTGCGGTTGCATCCGATAAGTACGAGTTTGATTCGATACGACTTGATTGTTCTGTCCGTGATGGTACTCGGCATCAAAAGCGGTACCGGTCTGACTACGGTGTAATGTTCGGTTTACGCAACGATAACCAGAGGACACACCTAATCATAGCACGAACAACGGGCACTTGCGCTACCCGCATGTTGCGTGAATCTGACTTGAGCTAGTGCGCACACCATCTCCCTCAGCATGCACGCTATTTTCTACGAAGCTGCGGTTCCTGCACGCCGTGCTTGTCTCAATATCGGATCCTTGTCACTCGGCGCCCTTGAGGACCGCTTTATGAAGAAAAGGGTATCAACTTCATCATGCAACGCAAGATTTACGAGACGATAGCTCGATAGGACCCAACACAATTATCTGGTCAGGCTATCCGCTCGATCATATTGCGTTCCGTGACCCTTAGGTCGCAAGAGTGCCTTGCGTTGTTACTCCTCCTGATTTACCTTGTGCGTTCTGATGCCGAGGGGCAAAGCTTTCGGCTATGTTGCAATAGGTGAAGGTCCTGTGGGCAGCTTGCCAGGGCTTAAGCGGTATGTGGAGAGCTAGAGATTTCGAGTACGTCAATGCGGGCTCGACGGAGGTGTTCCGCTCTACGCGGTCGGTCGGTCGGTCGGTCGTTCGTCCCAGTAAGCAATTGAGGTCTTGCCTCGCTTGTCTACATGATGGTGGTAGAGCAACTGCAACGCCCATCGACATCTCCGAATTCGTCGTTGATTGACCTATTGTCGTCGATGCAGTCCTGCACATGTGCACATCGACACTCGAAACGAAGCTCTCGCGTCGTTTTATTCCTTGCGCGTCTCAAGTGAACTTGGCACTTTTGCCACGATCTCTCCTGACTCTTTTACCGACATCGCCAGACAACTGCGGTTTGCTATTGACTGTACCGGACATAATTATTGCATTTTGCACGAGTTGTCAGCTTCCTCTGGTTTCGGACAACTGTCGGCATCGGGCTTTTCATCATCATTCACAACTGCTAGGCCAAGAGCCCCAACCTTTCGCAAGCTCTTTTGCGTATCTCCGTCACCTTCTTTCGGGACAAAATCTGAATCGCGGCTCACTGGATTTGGCACCACTCTTGCCTTCCCACTACTACTTCCAGAAGACTGGCAACTACAGCGGAAGCTGTTCGCCACACCAGCAAAGAAGCAGTGGTTGCAAAGGTCGCAATGCTGATTCCGGTGGTCGCCACACCGGCGACACTTGGCACAATGGCGGCGCGGTTTCTTGGCGTCAGTACATAATCGGTTATTGCACCACGAGTACGTAAAGTGAGCGCCACAATGCGGGCAGGCAAACCCGTTCTCAACGGTATGCTTTACTTGCACGACTCCACCGCCTCCGTCGCAGCACTTGTAGCTAACCGTCGAGTTCAGCAGCTCTTGCATATCTTTGATCTTAGACATACACTGCATCAAGCATACATCGGTCACCACCACCTGCGTATCGATACCTTCACGCAGCATCGGCACGAACGGGTTTGCACAGCCCACACACTTGCACCGCGTGCCGCACACAGCTCCCGCCTTCACGCACGCACAACGAGCGTTGCGGCATTTGCCAGTACATTTACAGCGGACCGTGTCATCTTTTCGATCTGTCCGAAACGTCCCGGAAGAAGCTGCCATACCATCCTGTTGCAGCTGTGTTGAGTCCGATTCCAGAGCAGCTACGGTTGTCTGATGCAAAAACCTTTTGAATGGGCGGCGCCCTGATGGTTCCAGTACCTTCTTTGTGACCTGTGTCAGCTCCTTATCCACTTTGACGCTGCTGCATGTGGGTTCTCGCGACTTCAATGGAGCAGTCGTCGAGATTGGAGTGCTGTACTGAACGTATTCTGGAGACAGGAGCGCCTTTCGTTTGTTATTCTCATCCATCATGTTCTTCGCTGTAAGACGGGCTTTTTGCTGCTTTTCAGCCGACTCCGGTGCTACCGCACATCCAAGTGGAAGTTTGTTGCCCGTGATAGTGCTGGTACTCAAGCTTGCTCCAGGGTCAGCATGTGGTCCATGCTGAGGGATGGCTCGCCATTTTGCTGGTTCCTTTTGATTCTTGTCGGAACACGACTCATTGTACGCTTTCCAATCAATAATTTCACACGACGGCACCCTAGGCGAGGAACGAGCGCATACGGCTATCAGGGAACAACGTACTCATCCATTTAGCAAAAGTTAATGGTGCGCACCGATTCAAACAGCCGCTTGGCGCTGCGTCTACTGCAACACTTCCAGCGGACGCTGAGGTAGCGCCAATGCTGAATAAAGCGGCAGGAGAAACGAGACCTGTGAGACTCTCCGTGCTCGTAGAAGGCACAAGCGTTTGCAGCCAGTTGATGGTTGCAGGCGACATGGACGGACCGTTTAGTAGTCCCACGGGAGATAGGCTGCTCGTCATGTTGCAGTTGCTACTGACTGCTGTTGGTTGCAGCCTTTCAGACGTGCTGTCCTTCGGCTGTGACTCCTTTTGATCGATGGCCAGACCAGTGCTAACGTTACTCCCGTCCACAGCATTCGGTGCTTCTTGCAGCTCCTCGTCCTCCTGCTTCTGCCGCTGTTGCATTCCTACAGCCCCTTCGCCATACGCGTCGAGAGACTCCATCAGATCAATCACTTCGCCAAGTTTAGCGAACGCTCCGTCTCTGTTCTCTTGCAGCGTCACCAGTTTACGCATTCGGTCGTGCTTGAGATGCTGCGGCCGTTGCGCCTGCTCGGGAGCCACGAGATCGCTCTCGGACGGGGGCGTCATCAGCGACGTGTCCAGAATACGCAGCACGCGCCCAATTTCGTCCTCCAGGTCTCGACCGCCTCCCAGCGGCTGCCGCGTTGCGTCCATTGCGCCTCTCGTGCTGCGCGCTACGACTGGAAAAGACAAAAGGGGTCGGGCCCGTCTATGTAGGCGCCCACGACCACAGTACTCAGATGACGTGCGAACAAAAACACGACGCACGGCGGGCGACGAGAGCCAATCAGCTGCTCGACCGCGAGACGAGAGCCAATCACTCGACGGCCACGCGACGCGGAAGCCGAGGGGCCGATGATGATGCTACGACGCCGCCCGTGCGTGCGTCTGCCCAGCAGGTACTCTGCCCGCGCCTCGCACGCGTCGACGTCGGACGAGATACGCAGCTGCTTCCTGCACTTCTTCGAAGCGCAAGGCCATCGCGTCGTACCCAGCGCGTCGCTCGTCCCACCGGAGAATGACTCGTCGCTGCTGTTTGTGAATGCCGGGATGGTGCCATTCAAACAGGCGTTCCTCGGTCTCGATGGCGGGGCAGAGGCGCGCGGCTTCTCGAGAGCCACGTCAGCGCAGCGCTGTGTGCGAGCTGGCGGCAAGCACAATGATCTGGACCAAGTGGGACTTACACGCCGCCACCACACGATGTTTGAGATGTTGGGCAACTTTAGTTTCGGCGATTATTTTAAAGAACAGGCAATCGCAATGTGCTGGCGCTTCCTGACTGATGAATTGAGTCTGTCTGCTGACAGGCTGCACGTGACAGTGCTGAAAAGCGATCACGAGACCCGCCACCTGTGGAAGCAGATCTCTGGGCTGCCTGACCACAAGATCCGAGAACTGGACGAGCGTGACAATTTTTGGGCAATGGGCGATTTGGGTCCATGTGGTCCATGCTCAGAGGTGTTTTACGACTTGGGAGATCACATGGACGACCCAGACGAACGCTTTTTGGAGCTATGGAATCTCGTCTTTATGCAGTTCTTCCGCAGCAAAGGCACAGGCAAGCTGCAAGCGCTTCCTGCGTGTTCTGTCGACACTGGAATGGGCCTTGAGCGTGTGGCATCCGTTCTTCAGGGGGTCCCTTCTAATTACCACACGGACAGTTTTGTGCCCTTGTTGGAAGAGGTTGCATCGGTGCTGGATGCTCGTCGATTGCCAACTTCGCGCCCATCATTCATAGCTGCTTTTGAAGAGGAAAACGACCCACGCAAAAATGTGTTCGGCACTGGAAAGGAGATTCAGGCTCTCCGAATCATCAGTGACCACCTTCGCGCAACTTATGCACTGCTGCACGATGGCGTCTTTCCGTCAAATGTGGGTCGTGGCTACGTGTTACGGCGTATCATCAGACGAGCTATTCGGCATGCTCAACAGCTCGGTGTCCATAGTGGCTCGGACGGTACTTTGGCCTCCGTTGCAGTTCCAGTTTGGACAAAAACGTCAGGCTTTCAGCAAATGCGTGCAATCGTGCTGAACGAAGAGAAAGCATTTGAAAAGATGCTGCACGACAACCAAGGCGTGATCGAGAAAGTATTCTCCAAGTCGGCTGCAACATTGTCGGGCGCCGATGCTTTCCGACTCTACGACACTTACGGCATCCCACTTGATATCACGCAGGTGTTAGCGGAAGAAAAAGGTCTCACCGTTGACGTCGAGGGATACAAGACGCATGTAAAGAATCAGAAACAACGAAGCAGTGACTGCAGTTTGTTCCCTGGGCAACACAGAGAGTCGTCACAGTATGCAAAGCAGTCATCAGCTGGCCCGGTGAAACCTCTGGTAAGTATATTCGTGGGCTATGAACAACTCAGCGTGTCAGACGCTCGTATACTGGACAGTTGGCCACACTCGGATGACAAGGGGAGAGCGTCGACTGGATTCAGCGTGATTCTTGACCGCTGTCCATTTTATCCAGAAGGAGGAGGCCAAGCAGGCGATCGCGGACGTCTAGTGATTCATTCTGCGGACGGTACGCACCGGATCGGTGTTGTCGTCGAAAACACGACGAATTTGAACGAGGGGGCTATTGCACTGAAGTGCGCGCTGCCAGAGGATATGGCGTTCGCTGATGTTGCAGGTCTGCTGTTTCCGGCTGATGGTTCAGCGCCCACCGTGGAAGCACATGTGGACTCTAAGTTCCGTTCTGGCTGCGCAGTGCACCACACAGCGACGCACCTGCTGCAGCGTGCACTTAAGGCCGAGTTGGGTGAGCACGTCACACAGGCTGGCTCGCAAGTTACGAGTGATCGTCTTCGTTTCGATTTTGCTCATTTCGGGGCTCTTTCTGTTGACGAAATGGCGAGCGTAGAGGCAAGAGTCAATCAGTTTGCAGCTGCTGCGTTGGATGTGAGAACGGTTGAGTTGACGCGAGGAGAAGCTGAGCGCAGTGGCGCTATTTGCAACTTTGGCGACAAATACGGAGACGTCGTGCGTGTCGTTCACGTAGGCGACGTTGGTGACATTGCAGAAGCTGGCGCGGCTGAAGGACCTGTATCGAGCGAGTTTTGCGGTGGAACACACGTGTCCAACACGCGTGAGGTGTTTCCCTTCGTCCTGGTAAGCGAGGGGTCAGTTGCTGCTGGCACGCGACGTGTGGAGGCTGTGGCAGGATTCGCCGGTGCAATACACTTACAGGCAAAAGCGCAGACGCTGAGGGAGGTAGCAGACCATTTGTCGACGACGCCTGCGAAGGTTGTGGAGCGCGTCACCAAGATGCAGAAACAGGTGAAGCAGCTCGAGAGTCGGGCTCAAGCTCTCGGCGACGCTTTGGCCACGCTTCCATCAACGCCTTTTGTAGAAGGACCTCTATTCGGAACTGCGGGCGCTCCTCAAGTAGCGCTGCATGTCTTGGATGTCGCTGGAGTCGGCGATGTCTCCAAGATACTCAAACGCCGAGCTGAGTTTCTGGCCAAGCAAACTGCGCCTGACATGGTGCTGCTCCTGAAGCTTGGCTCGCAGATCGCGTGCTCCACCAGCGCTGCGTCAAAAGTACATGCTGGTGAGGTGCTACAGCAGCTGGTGAAGCCATTGGGCGGTCGCGGAGGTGGCAACGCCCGCTTTGCACAAGGCTCCGTGCCTGCCGAGCTCGTCCCGCTCGAGATTGCTCGTCGTGTGCTGAATAAAGCGGACGAATAGAGTCGAGTGAATAGAGTCGAGTGAATAGAGAGCGAGTGAATAGAGAGCGAGGGAATAGAGTTGAGGGAATAGAGTCGAGGGGATAGAGAGCGAGTGGATAGAGTCGATGGAGTCTTGATTTGTCAACAAAGACACGTTGGTGTCACTGTTCCCCGCACGCCCTCGTCGTCAAGATAGTGACAATGGACCCGGCAGTGATCGCCGCTCAACTGCGCGTCGCGGTGGGCGACCTGCGCGCCCGTGGGCTCAACAAGGCCACGCAATTTGCAGCAGAGCTTCTCCTTGGTATCGGAGAGGCCGCTGCATGCCGAGAGTCGTCGTCGAAGTCGCGAAATGACGACGACAGTAGCGACGAGGCTGAGGACTGGGCGGAGGCCGACCGCTATGAAGCTGCTAAGGCCTGCTTTGACATGGGCGAATACCTCCGTGCTCACCACTTGCTATCGATCTGCACTGAGCGTGACGTGGGATCGTGCCGACGCCTGACGCACAAGACGCACTTTCTCCGCAACTATTCTTTGTTTATGGTAGGAAAAGACCCGAACGTCTGCTGAACATGGAGCTGTAAACCCACAGTGTGTTCGTATTTGCTGATGCATACAGGCTGGTGAAAAAGCGAAAGAGGAGATGGATCTGGTGATAAATGTCACAGGCAGCAGCAAAGGTCTAGTTTGGATTCAAGCATCATCCTTGGGACGTGCTGCCTGTTGCTAACGTGAATGCTCGTCCGCTGGACTATCTTTATGTTTTTGACAGAGTTGGACCGCAATTTGCATCGCCAAGGCACCAATCCTCATCTGAAAGAGCTGTACTTGTCGCTAAGTTCCGCGTACCAACAGAACTTGCTGGACGGGTTTGGCCTCTACCTTTACGCTGTCGTTCTCAAGCGTCTGGGCTACAGTACAAGTACTGGAAGCACAGAAGCACAATCTTCGACCCCAGTTAGTATGAAAACTCGACGCCGCGTGGATTCCGCAGAGGAACAAAAGCGTCAGCACGTGCGTTATCTCGATGCTGCCAATGTACAGACAGGCTCGACAAGCGAGTCTGGTGTACTGACATTTGACGTTGCAACGCGGTTCATCCTTGTCGAATCGATACGACTCTACCCGTGGAATTGGTCGGCCTGGATGGAGCTGGCAGCTCATTCTCCTTTCACATCCAATGTATGTAAATCGCTGTAGCGCGCTATCGACTGAGTTAAGTCTAACAAGTCATTATTTGGCTGCAGGAAGAAGAAATTATTCTAGCGACAAGCTGTTCATGGATGTTCCAGCTATTTCAAGCACACGTCTTGCTTGACCAGCAGCAAAATGATGGCGCACGTGTGCTCCTAACTGGTTTAGAAGAACATTTCCCACGTAGTACCTATCTTTTGGCGCAGCAGGCGCTGACAAGCTATCACATACGAGACTTTGATCTGTCTCAAGAACAATTTGAGCGGCTAGCTGCGCAAGACCCTCATCGGATGGAAAACATGGATGTATACTCAAACGTGCTGTACGTGAAGGAGAACAAGACAGAGCTTAGTCGATTAGCGCATCGAGCAATCAAGGTGGAGAAGTACCGGCCGGAGACATGCTGCATCATTGGAAACTACTATTCGATCAAGAACAAGCACGATCGCGCTATCATATATTTTCACCGCGCTTTAAAGCTCGATCCCCACTTCCTGTCAGCGTGGACACTCATTGGCCACGAGTACATCGAGATGAAGAACACAAGTGCAGCTGTTGAGGCCTACCGCCACGCAGTTGATCTGAACGCACGAGACTATCGCGCTTGGTACGGACTTGGGCAGGCCTACGAGATTTTGAACATGAATCTGTACAGTATCTACTACTATCGGAAATCTGTGGCGATTCGTCCCTATGACGCGCGCATGTGGTGCGCCTTAGGTGGCTGCTACGAAAAGCTGGACAAGATCGAGGAAGCTCTTACGTGTTTTCATCGTGCCGTGAATAATCAAGACCGTGAGGGCATTGCGTCGTACCATCTAGGCCGTCTTTATGCGGTGCGTGGGCAGCAACATGACGCTGCCATGTATTATCAGTTGCACCTCGGTCTTCAAAGCACACCAGCATCACTTTTATCCCACGATCTGGATACACCGAAGCGAGTCATCACAACGCATGATGAACACGATACTAAGGACGAAAGAGAGGTGCTTGTTCTCCCTAGTGGCAGTGGTGGTAACATTCGCTTGGACACTCCTCAAGCGATGGCAGCGATACTGTTCCTTGGCAACTTCTATAAGCAATTGGGCCGATTTCCTGAAGCGACCATATTCTGTAACTGCTTGCTAGACATGCAGGGACCAGAGAGAGAGGAAGCCAAGGCACTTTTGCGGGAGATGCATAGTTTGGAGGCAAATTGTATGCAAAATGCCTCCAACGCAGGCGAAAAATAGGTTGCTTGGTTTGTTCCATCATCGTTGTGACGCTGACGTGACACAGAAGCGGCATCGGTAAATTCGCTTGTTTGCCTTCACTTGCTCAAGTAAGCCAAACGAACGAATGGCTTTTCCGTGCTTTGCAAGATCATCGTCTCGTTTCACGTCATGCACGAGATCGGTCGAAACACTCAGTTTCAGCCAAGACGTCTTCAGCTGATGCGCTAACGCCATTGCCGCAGCCTCAGATGTGACTGTGGCGTGCAGTTCCAATGCAATTTCGTGCACCGATTGCATTTGCGAAAAGCACGAACCAAAAGTCGGTGTTGCCTGGACTTCGCACGCAATCGCGAAGGCCAGCGTCATTTTCCGCATTTCCGGAGCGACTGCACATGACAGCAGATCACATATGGCGCCCGAATCTAGACACATTTGCGGCATACGCAATGCTAGAACTTCACACACACGCAATCCATCCTCCATAAGCTTTCGCACAGAAACATTCACCCCGGTCGAAATGGTCCCACTTTGACAATAATAGCAGATACGGCATGATCGCAATACCGCGTAGTCGGCAATGTGTGCGATCGTATCTGCGATCCTATGGTCGGCGTTGTTTCTTTCGCGATCTGGCAAAGATGCAATATTAAGTTCAAGGTCAAGATGCTTCAGTTGTGCGAATTCACCTTGCAACTCGGCAGATAAAGCGTCGAGCAACTTGTTCGTGTGTACACTGCTGGAGGACCACTGAAGCATTTCCACTTGCTGCAGGTCCCAAGTGTCGCTTGTTCGCCAGTTGGCCTCCTCTGTCTCGATCGTGCAACGAGAACTGCTGGTGATTCCCCGCAAGTATAACTTTTGTGTTGTGCTTCCAGGTGCAAAAAGAGCATTCAACCAGCGCGAATCACTAGTGATGCAGTTTGAGCCAAAATTCAGGCACTGAAGACGATTGCTGACATCCATTAGTGCCAGGCGCACACTCTCCTCTACCGCTGTTCGACCACCGAGCGAACTCATCGAGTTGAACGGCGCGACAAGTTCTGGGAAGCAGGATTCCAAGAGCAGGTTCTCAAGCCCTGATAAGCTAGCGAGCAGGGGCCGGAGATGCTGAGCGCCTTCATACCACAACGTATTGTATGACAAATCCAGCGTCTTCAAGCTACTGAGCGCTGACAGGGATCCAACAGATGTACTATCGCCGGTCAGCAATCGCATAAGGGCAGCAATGTCGGCTGGACGTGGAGCAGCGATGCCACGAAAACTAAGTCGCTCGACGTTCTGACGCAGCAACGGTAAGCGCAGCAATTTGCACAGTACTTCGAAGGCAGCTGCATTGAAAAAGCCGTTCGACACATCCAGTTCCTTCACAGGAGGTAAGCCAGAAGTCGCAAAAATGTCCACCAAGTCCTGGAGATCGCGTGCAGAATGGAAACCGATGCCAGACAGGTCAAGATAATGTGCTCCTTTTTTCACCGCCAGTACCGCAGTAATCGATGGCTTTGCTTCCTGCCCAATATCCACACACTAGAAGAGGGCAAGATAAGCAGAACGAAGGTAAGCGTGGTCGTCGTGTCTCTCACATTCATACACGCCGCCATGATTCTGACGCTTACCCTTTTCTGATACAAGCTTCGCGCCGATGGCAGATTATGCAGCCCTACTGAGGCAGCAGTACCGTTGCCAGAACTGTTCAGACGCCTAGCCAATCGCGAGGAATCGCGTGCGAGCGCCACTGCATCCTCTTGTGCTTCCTCGCACGACAATTGTTCGAATCCCATCTGTCGCTTGATGTCAATAATGCCAATCTCGTCCAGCTCTACCAACATGGTGCTGGAACTTGCATTTGCCAAAGAGAAGTTTTGCGAAAGCGGGTCGCCGGACGTGAGACTGAAACCCTCCCAAGGACGCGCGTCTTCCTCGCACGAACACTTCGACGGCCCAAAACACGTCCGTGTAGCCTTCGCCAAGACTCGAGAGCTAGTCCCATCAAGTTCTCCCAGCACCACCAGTTCCTCATGAGGGTCCTCGCCCGTCACATCGAGTCTATGATAAAAGTTGCTGTCTTGTCTACGAAAACTCTCAAGGCACCCGGTAACTCTCTTGTCCAGAAGGCTGATGTCGTCGCGATCGAGTCCGTCCATTCTGATGAACCAGTAGTCTAGTCGACTCTCGGACACTAGTCGTCGGCTCTCCATGAGCTGGTATATGGCATTGCCATCGTCAATGCTCAGCCCTGTCCGACAGCCGTAAAATGTCAACATCCGATCTCAGTGACCAGTGCAGCTGCTCAAGTCAACGCACCCGAGTGCACAGCCCCTTTGGTGCCAGTCTCGTGCATACGTGGAAACGTGAATTGCTGCGTGGAGCGATGACGGATTTCTCCGCGTCGGAGTTGGATGCCTAAATCCACGACACGAAGGTACTGCAAGAGTGTAAACGCGTTCATCATTGGCACCAGAGTGTCTGTACCGAACCAACGCACCATTTTGAACCATTGAGTAGCCGACTGTGGCGACAGATTCTGCAGCGTGTTCGTCTCCAGCTGCTCGATCGCATCGCAGTAGACGACTTTCAGCCGCTCGATTTCGGTAAGAATTGCCTTCAGATGCTCCGTCAGGCGCTGGCCTTCTCCTCGCATGACCAACTGTGCGGCAGTCTGTTGTCGATGGAAGTAGTTGCGATCACGATTGTCACTGGGACGAGATGTGTGGTTTGTGCTACGATTGTGGCTCATCTATTGGGCCTTTTAGTTGTGGCTCTGTGGCGTTATGTGACGGAGCTGTCAGTTCTTTGCGCAGTCAGTCAGTCAATTAATCAGTCGGTCAGTCAGTCAGTCAATTAATCAGTGAGTTAGCTATACCCAGTGATCCACGAGAGAGCTTTTGCAGATCAGTCGCTGGAAAGTGGTCGAGTGTTCGTGTCGATATCCGGGTGCTAGTCATACTCTAGTAAACCAAACTCTGGACGCAGACAGATCGTCGGCGCCGACTTCCAAAACGTTCGCATTCGTCCAAGCTCGAGCCAAATAACCACAACTGACGTCGGCTTTGCCAAGTCGCAACTTATCTTGTAGCGAAGGACACAACGCAATTCTGGTCCGCTACGCGAACCAGCTTCGGCTTCGCTAGGCTGTCATTCCGCTGTAGAGTGTGTCTATGACGAGAGCAACCAGGACCTGCTTGGTGGGTATCTGATGGACACGAAAGAGATCGCGAGGCCAGGCTGCAGGATATTGCAGTAGTAAAAGTCGCATGAAATCATTCGTGAGGAAGGAAGACAGAGTATGGTCGATTCCATACTGGGAAGTACGGACTCACGCCAAGTGCTACCCGCGCCGACCCGGAAGATGGATACATAAATCCTCCTTTCACTACCATTGCACGCTCGGAACAATTGGTAAAGCGCTCACAGGAAATCATGTGCACTTCCTTTGGCTGTCGTCTGCTGGATCTTGAAAGCTTCGAGTTGTAGCTGTTTACGTCGCGGTCTCCATTTTAGACATATGTGTCGTCGCGATCGTTCGTGTTCAGGTTCTGGTGATGCGATTCCTGTCACAACTCGACTACGCTTCGCTTGGCGGTAAGTACACACATACACGTATCTGCCCCTCATCCTGCGCGTCCTACCGCACACACCCATTAGCGTACAACGTGTCGCTCTGTTGCACAACGCGAGTTATCCTCCACCGCCTCGCTAACGTAGCAACAGCAAAGATACTGCACTAGGACAGCGACAAACGAACATGCGCGATCATTCGAGGAAAGGCGAGATACACGCACTATGTGTATGTTCACGTCTGCAGCCTCTGTAGTCATTGACGAATTTCGTAACGCTGCCGTTTCGTTAATGACGTCAAGAACGATAGGAGTTGCGTTCGGTTACGTCCAGGATGGCTCGGTCAAACTTGACATTAACTGATCGATCCTACTAGGTACGTTCAACGAAACTCGAGGCCAAGCGTAACGGGCACAAAGTTTCAACAATGCGTAGAATTATGAAACCGGGACAAGAGGACTGCTAAATCTCGAGATCTTCGTTTTAGACGAGCAAATTTAGCTCGTACCAGTGCGCTTTTCGGCGCTAGTCTCGCCTCGTATCATGACAAGTCCTGCATTAATCCCACATACTGTCATTCAATGCAAGACTTGTATTGGTGTTTAACTTCCACAAAAGACGGGAATCGCCTTGGTACACAAGTGCCTTGTCTTGTAGTGTACCGCGAATGATCTGTTGCTATTGACATCGTTTGGTCGATTTCAAATTACAGCTCTTGCTGTCACTGAGAGCAGCAGTTGCTACTACTGCACAAAACGGCACGTACTGTATGCGCGGCACTTCATCAAACGAGCGCGCATAGTAAGCAAAGCGGTACGCTAAACGGCTAGCGGCTTGAGCAAGTTACACTCGATACGAGACTGGTCTCAAGAACATGGATTAGCATCGCGCACCTATTTCGACGGACAGATAGATGCTCGAAGAGGAAAGATCGACCAGTACTACAGTCTTATAAGCATGAACACTGAGTCATTGTTGCCTTTCCATCGAGGTTTATATTGTAATAATTACTATCATTATTCTTACAGGACAGCGTACGCGCGACCATCTTCCGACACAATTTTCACTTCATGTGAGAACTCTGCAGTGGAATCACCCGCAGCCGTTTGCTTCATCGAATTCGTTCCTCGATGATTGTTGATCTGGCTGTGAGCAAAGCTGATACAATATCTCGCGATGTTCTCGTGGCCATGCGAGTTCGCAAGATCCACGACGTCTAACCCACGCGCTGTCTTGGGATGAATACTAGCTCCGTGGTTCAGTAGCAGCTTGCACATTGGTAGATTGCCAAATTGAGCGGCCAGGTGCAGCGGCGTCTTGCCGTTGAAATCATTCCTTGTGTTTACAAAGGCATCGTGCTCCAGCAATAGCCGAAGCACGGGTAGCGTCTGGCATGCAACGGCCACGTGCACCGTCGATACATTATCAGCGTTGCGCAGATTGACATTCGCTTCGTATTCCAGCAGCATTTCCATGATCTCCAGGTCTCCCAACTGGACGGCGGAGAGCAAGGGCGACACACCATTTTGGTCCGTGATGTTCGTGTCAGCCCCGTGCGTCAGTAACATTGCCACGATGCTACGATGCCCACCGCGACACGCGACTTGTAAGCTCGTATGGCCATTCTCCATCACTGCGTTTGGATCCGTGCCGCGGTACAAAATAGATTCTACGGCATGCGCGTGACCAATTTGACTCGCCACAAATAGCGCCAGCTCCCATTGGCGATCCTCGTGCCAGTTTCCCATCGGTACGGTGGGGCTTCCGAGGGCTCGTGGGTCCATCAAAAGGTGCTCTCTAAATTTCTCCAGAAATGAGCACATCGAAGCTTCTTCACTTCGAAGCACTACTTTTGGAAGTCCCAGCAGCAAGGTCTGCGGCGCCTTGGTGTCAAAAGTAGCAACACCACGACGCGTCGTTATGACTGGATTGCGTGCCAGGAAATCAGTATGGCGTCGGATGTCAACGCCGCAGTTGTATCGAGACCAAAAATCGGCAGGATTCGCAGTGCGATTAGCACGATGAGAGGACGTTGAGTTCCTGGTGAACGTTCGGCCCGTCGTAACAGAGTTCTCTTCGTCATCATTGCCATGTGGTTTGACCGACGACATAGAATTCTTCCGAGCCCCTTGACGGTCGAAGTTGGAGTTGACGCTTTGGGAATGATTGCAGTTGGACCCCCTCTTCCGATGGTGGTGTCCAATGCCAACATCATACAAGGACTCGTTTTCTGCTGATGACGCTTGTGTTTGGCTGTCACATTCGTTGCCGATGAAGCTGCATGTACTCCATGTGCTGTCGTCATCATGACTCCTAGCACTGAAGAACGCGGTGCTTATGCTCACCGCGCTATCAGGTCTTCTGCATTGAGCTATGGCAGTAGATCGGCCGTCAGCTGAGAGCTGCAGTGGTGGTCGCGGTCCCAAATTTACACGTCTCTTTTGGTCGAAACCAAAGAAAGCGCTCAAGGATATCAGCACCTGACAATTGTCGAGCTCATCAATGCTTTGTAGAAATGAATGGGGGAACGTGTCAAAGAGCCCTCGCAGAGTCGTAATAAACAACTCCAGCTTTTGGCGTCGACTTTCCAGCACGGACGGTGTGTTGCGCTTGATCTGGAACTTTGACGGGAACGGGTAGCTCTTGAGAAAGTGGTGGAAGCTGCGAAATGTACAATTCCAGCTACGGCAGCGGCAGGACGTCGCGAATTTGCCGCCACCAGCAACTGATCGAGAATCAAAAGCGGTTGCGAGCACGCGCTGCGACGAGCGGTCGACGTGGCCTGGCCCGGTACTATTGAAGCGTGACAGTGATGCACTCGAAGGTGTTTTCGTGGCAAGCGTCAAGTCTTTCCAGAGCTTGCGGAATTGAGAATACGACCGCGTCGCTGTGATGTGGACGTTGGACGTCTTGACCGTCATACTGTTGACCTGTTTGTCGTCTTCTGGAGAAATCTGTCGAGCGCTCCTGCTCGGGATACTCGATCCAAGTGGCGCCTTGATCTTGTCATGTCGAACAGGGCGGTCCTTCAGCTGAATCACGAACACCTGTTTGCCTGCGCGGACTTCGTAGGAGGGGATGGCCACGTCATGCGCCTGTAGCCAACTCATTGCGGCTGTCGGGTATCGTTGGCGGGTCGATCGGTTGGTCGGTTAGTTGGTAAGTAAGTGGTTGGTACCCTTTTGTCAACTGAAGGGGTAATTGGTTTGTGAGGAAGGAGGAGGGGTCCAAAGGTCTTCGAACGACCGGTATGCGCGTGTCGGGACGAGTGCAACGGGGACGAGTGCGTACGTCACACGCCGCGGCTTTCGAGCGTGTCGTGAGGCCAGTTCAACGCGGGGCTCGAACGATCATCTCAGTCCGCTTTGCTGATCCCGTCGGCACGATCGTTTCTAAGGGGCGTCAGTGGGTATGTATACTCAGCTCTTGGGCGTTTCAGTATCTGACGTCTCCTACGAGGTCGACTGCGTTGTATCTGATAAGCGTAACCTTCCGGGGCGTGTTACTCATGCTGATCCCGTACGGATGAAACGCTCGGAAGTGCTCGAACGTGTCCTCAATGACAGAGTTACACAGTGTGCGCAATCGGACGAGAAACGTGCAGTTGTTGCCTGTCGACTCGAAGATGGATCGTTCATTGACCGGACTGCAAAAGACCTCTCATCATTGGAGCTGAAACGGACGGCAAGAACGCTGGAGAAATCGTCAAGTCTACTCGACTGGCAACCAGTCGACGGGCAACTCGTGCAATGGTGACTTGTATGTGCCTCCTGGACGGCGTAACAGATGGCGACAATCTAATTAGCAAGTAGTTAGCTCTGTAGCCAGAGTCTGAACGTGTACAGGATGGATAAGTCATGTGGGCATCATCTACCCTGGCCATGAGAACACATCACTCCCTCATTCGCGCATGAGATGGAATGAGCGCGTACATGTACTCGCCCTGTTCTTCGTGCAAAAGTTAATCTCAGCGCTTGATCGCCAGATGAGACGTCACTTTCCTGCGTTTTACGTGCTGATGACAGACTCATAACTGACCAGCAAACGCGTTCAGACGTCCTGCGCAACAGGCAACAGAGAGAAAAGTTTCCTCGTGCTTCTATGCCTGGCCATTCATCGCATCTCTACAAAGCATCCGCAGCAGAATTAGTCAATCGACAAACAGCATTGTTTGCTCGTGCGCTGTTCCGTCTTGTTCCTTAATGGTCACCAAAGGCCCAGTGTACTCGACAGCGAGCAGCAGCGTTGTGTCTTGTATGTACAGCCGGACTGCGGCACCGTACGAAGCTGCTGATGTGTTGTCGCGGTCTCAAGCGCCTCGCTGCTGAGCTCCAAACGCGTTCTGTTCCATTGTTCAAACCTCTGCAGATACGACCATCAGTAAGCACTACGTCGAGGATTCAGTCTTCTCACGAAACCGCTAAGCGCCCGTGATCGGGCACACTGCTGACAAGCACGAGTCGCTAAGTTGGTAATGGATTGTTAACGGCGTAGTCTCGAGGACTGTTTGACGTCTGGAACTGAAACAAAGCGCCCTCGACGAGCCATCGACACAGGGTCTCATTGTTGTATGGTAGGCTACAACCAGGGCGGGTTGGCTTGCGCACGTGTTGTACATCAAGCGCTTAACATGCTTACCTGATACCGCGCAACAAGACGGGTGTTGTGCGATGGTTTGCATGCTATCTGATGGATTAGCAACGGAGAAATGTTGCGTCGCAGCGACCTCTCGAGTGTGGCAAGCCTTGTCAAGCATACCCCGTAGCACTCATGCAAGTGGACGGTCAGGTGCAAGTCGTGTTTGCGTTGGACCAGTGTGAACATGCCGATGCACCAGACATGGATCAGCACTGCGTCGTTGAGCATATGACCAGATTATCTATCATTTGTTTCGGTTTGCAGTGCTGCATGAGTCAGCGTGTCAATGGATGCGATATACCATCTACGTAGTGAATGCATTCGGCCACACCCGTGTGCTGGACAGAGAAGGGGAAGAGTGTGGCCTGCACCCTGACAAGTCTCCGAGCTGCTCTTACTTTCGACATCATGGAGCCCATCGTCCATCAATTGCTTATGGAGGTGCGCAGTTTGTTCATCCACAGTCGTTTCGTGACATGCGCCGATTGCCGTCCAGTCTTTTGTCGCGTGGCTAAGGGCTTCCGCATTCACAAGTCGACAGCAGCAGCACGACAAGTGCAGCTCGAGAGTTTCCGCGCTGTGCACGCATATGCAAGGTGTGCAATGTTCATCCGAAGTGATAGCGATGTATCTCAGCGAGATTGTTTTGATTGCTTTGGGTGTTCCGGAATGAGATTGTATCGAAGAGACCGCTGATGAAGAGGAGAGAAGGTGGCATAGCCGCCAGAATACCCCATCGGGCACCAGCCAATGCAGCGACGGCCTTGCAGAGCACCAACATTGCATCAGCTCGTAGCACGAGTATCTACTACTTCAGCGTAGCTACTAACGCCGCTCAAACTGCTGCAAATGTGCGATATGGACCGGTAGAAACGGTCGAGGTAAGCAGTGATCGTGGACAAACAGTGTACGACTCGACCGCTTTGGCGACTTGTTTTCATGCTTGGTCAAAGACCGTCGTAGCCTGTGATGTCGCTACGTGGATGCCACGATGACAGGCAAGAACCTGCCGGCAAAGTTTCGTGACGAGATGTCTGATCTCGAGCTGGGTGAGAAGAGCTTTGAGATTAGATGATCCGATCCGATCTCAAAGCTTTTCTCACCCAGCTCGTTGATCTCTTTTGGTGCGCAGGAGATGCCAAGAACTGCTGTTTTCGCTTCAGCTTGCTCTGTGACACTGACCTCTTGCTTACGGTGAAAAACCGCACAAACACGCGCAACAACGACCAACAGCGCCTACAAATCATCGCGCGCAACAACGACCAACAGCGCCTACAAATTTTCGCGCGCAGCAACGACTAACAGCGCCTACAAATCATCGCGCGCAAGCAACAGCGACGTGCACGGCATACCCGACTCAATCACCAGTAATGGGTTCGAGGCCACTTCTGTATTCGTACGTCACACGAGTTGTTCACGCCGAGCTCATACTTTTCTAGTTTACCCACAGTACAATTACCCTACGAGGATAGCTGCACAGCAACCATACACTTGGTCCGTCTACATTGCAAGTGCGCTCAAGGAGCCGCATACAGGATGCTCATATTCTTATAATCACGCTTCTTCAGCGATCTCTTCACCAACGGAAGAGCTACCAAAATCGAGCCAAAGTCTGGCCGCCGCGAGGGGTCGTGATGCCAGCAGTGCTCGATCAGCTCTCCAATTTTCACCGGTGTCTGGCGCGGCAACGCAGGACGCATGTGCTGGCGAGCAACAGCGAAAGCAGCTACAACAAACGATCCTTGTTACCACTCATGAAAAGTCGTGCACCAACAACAAACACACACATGCTGCTTACCCTGAATGGGCGTCAGACCGCGGAAAGGCTGATCTCTTGTTAGCAGTTCCCACAACACGATTCCAAAGCTGTAGACATCGGCTTTGGTGGAATACGGCTCATGGCGAATGACCTCGGGCGCCATCCACCGGTATGTCCCTGTCTCCGCCGTCAAGTCGGACGAGCTGCCGATCTCTAGTACGCAACTCAGTCCAAAGTCAGATATCTTCGCGGTCCCATGCGAATCGATGAGCACGTTGCTGGATTTCAAATCACGGTGCATAATGGAGCACAAGTGGAGGTAGTTCATTCCCTGCAACGGCCAACACGAAGCGTACAAAGTCAGCTCGGCATCAATCGCAACAGCAAGGAAACATCACGCTGCAACCATTGTCATCTGCGACGCCAAACGAAAGAAATCAATCGGCCCGCGGTGAGATCGGATCAGGTCGGTCAACGTGCCATTTTCCATAAACTCGAATACTGAACAGAGACAACACCGCCAGATTGCGTCAAACGAGTTGACCACCACCAACAAACGGTGCTGTGAAACTTACCCAAGCAGTAACGCGGCGGATCAATAGCTGCTCCAAGAAACAAAACAATGTTCGGATGACGCAGCTTAGTGACGACTGCCACCTCACGATGGAACTCGTTTGACAACTCTTCTCCGACTGCCTGGGTGTTAGTAGACGAATCCACGACTTTTGCAGCAACGTGAGTTCCTCGCCACCAGGCGCTGTAGGTGTTGCCAGAGCGACCGCTGCCAACGACCTTGTCCAGCTGCACCTCGTTCAAGTTCAGTTTCCATTCGGCTCGAATTTCGTTCTTGTCCACCATCTGGAGAACACCGAGCGTCTCGGCCAAGCTTACGTTCTCACTGCTACTCGGTTCCAGTGCGTTCGTGATAGTCGGTCGCATGTCTCCTTCATCCATACTGAGCCTGCATAGATTATGTTCGATATGCATACGAAGCTCCTCCTGGCGCTCATCACTCATGAATGATCCCTTCACTACAAAGCGATCCAGCAATGTGCCATCCGCTGTAGTCATCACGTCAGCGTCCAGAATATTCCCCTTCATCGTAGTAAGTGCGCGTGCTATAGCGTCCAGAATGTTATCTCGATCAAGCGACACGACCACCACCTCGCACACGTTGGGCACGATCCTGCCAATCAAAGCCACATGGTCACAACCAGTCACACACACACGCACAATCACTCGCTCATTCCTATATCCATGCACGACACCCGTCCAGCACGTACTCGCCATTGTCATCCTTCTTGAGCTGAGCATTGACAGCAATAGCCGTCGGGTCTCGTTGATTCTGGGCCAGCAGCCGCATGTGCAGCGGCACGTCATCCGGGTTCACCGACAGCGCGTACCGAGCTGGCAGTCGCCGGAAATGAGCCTGCACCGATGCAAATACGGGCTCGTACAGATGATTGAGCACCTTTCGCTGGCCGTAGGAGCCCGAGCCGGACACGTAGACGTCCCCGACCATGTGCTTGACCACAGCGCGACACATGTCATTCACCACCGAGTCTTTCAGGCCTCGCTGAACGCCCAGCGCGGACGGCTTCGGCGCCACTGGGAAGTAGCCTTGTTTCTCCAGGTCGGCCAGGCCCTGGTAGCTCTGCGCCTTCTTGATCCCCGTCGCTGCTTCCGTGTCCGGCGTCGACTTGTAGGATCCCGACTGCGACTTGACAGGCGGTCCCGCTTGCGTGCTGTCCATTGCTGCGAGTTTCTGGGACAGCAGACGGGCGCTCGTGTCCACGTCGTGTGGCACGAGCACAGCCGACCCCTCCGCGCGATCGGTCCGTTCCGGCAGATGCTCGAGCCGCTCGGCGATGCACGGGAGCGACGTGGGCGAGCGCCCGTAGACGCCAAAGGGCGAGCGACTGAGCACGTCATCGCCGTTCATAGCGCTGCTACTGCTGCGGTGGTGGCTGAGGGCGCCGGGCTCGAGGAGCGCGAGGTCGCCACCGACGTGTGAGCCCGTGCGCCACTCGCGGTACAGCAGACGCGCGTCCGACGGCGAGTGGACGGGAGGCGACGCCAGCACGTCAGCAGAGAGGTCGTCCGAGCTGTGGGGGCGGCTGGAGGCGACAGAGACGACGGCAGCAGTGGCGGCGGCGGCGGCGGGCGGAGGGGGACCGGCCGCGTCGCTGCTCGTTTGCATGTGGCGGAGCGCGTCGCTGTCGCGCGTTCGGTGGGCCGGCGGCATTGGTGGTGCCACGACAAGTGGGCTGCGCGCGGGCTAGGGCTGGCTGGCCGGCTGCGCAGAGAGGACGTGCCGTTGCGTCAAGCGTCGATTGGGGGGACGTGGTTTCGGCCAATCGGAAGACGAGGCGCAGCTTGAAGCTGCGGTCGCCGCGAGCAGTTCACGTTGCGACCAGTTGTTGGCTGTCGCCGGGTGGGTATTTTTTTCAGTTTTTCTGATCTTTCGACACGATTCAGGTCGCAACGATCGGTGGGTGATCGACCGATTGACTTTTGGCATTGGGTCCTATACAAGGGCCCGAGCGGGGCGTGTGCCTGGCGAGTGAAGCGATTGGAGCCTGTCGCGAAGTTCGCTCGTGGCATTGCGGACCCGCTCAGTGTCATTGGCACAGGCGGTCGCTTCTGCCGCGCAGAGCCAGTACTATGTCGACTGGAAAGCCCGTTTTATTTTTAACTCGATTGAACATCACGTGTGACATGAACACGACAGATGTTTTGTGGGCGGTTGAACGACTGACGCGAGTCAGGACGGAGTCGGGAACCTCACAACGTGATGACTCATCGTGATCCCGTCCCACACGTATACAGGAACACGGATTACGAATTCGTCTTGACACTTCGAGAACCGATCGATTTTGCGCTCGGGTGTTTCGCAAGGTCAGTTCTGTCGCTTCTGAGTGAGTCACGGAAGAGGCGGTGCAGAGTGTCATGAAAGCCGTTTCGCTTCCGCATGCCACACGATCGTGAAGGGTCACACAGCGTCACCTTGACTTTTCGAACTGGGAAGCAAAGCAATTCGCTGCTTTGTGCCACACGTGTAAGACAACCAGATAGCTCAACAGACAATAGCCGGTATTGTTTCCTTGACCCAACGGGCTCTCTCATAGACGCCAGCTGTCTGCCACGCTGGTAAACACACACTGGTCTCACAGAGGGGTCCGAGCGAGACCTCACCATCGTTCTCTCAACTTCCCATATATCCACGACGGTACTGCCATTTGTTGATATACGCTTACCAAACAGGAGCACAGTCGCCCGTCACTCCGCTGCAAGAGCCACAGAGCCCATTCGACATGGTTCGAAAGTGACCTGTGTTTCTCGCGCCCGGTATCATCGCTCATTCTGTCGAGCAGGCGCTTGGTGCGACTTGCTGGCTGTGCTCTGGTGCAACTGCACGTGCGCTCGCAGATTCGTGTTTGTTTTGTTGTTTGTGTACGGCATGCTGCATAGTACAACATTTGCAAATGAAGCCTCTCCTCTTTATCCAAAGCAACGAAGTCGCCGTCTCAGGATACGCATTCTCGCATGACAATGCAACCTGTTTGTCTCAGTGCTTATTGTCGCCGCGTAAATCTGTTCGCGTTGTCCCGAACAACAGTGTGTGCTATCAGCAAATGTGTCTACGACGACTCATCATGACTTTCGCGTAGAGGGTCCACGATCAATTGGCGGTACATGAGTTCCGCTAAGTAAATTTGTTAGCGACCGTCGTGAGATGTGCACGAGTTTTGCCAGTGTACTACAAGGTACAAGCGCAAACAAGATGCCGCTACTTCGCTCACTACTAGTGGCGCACCGTCCGTCTTTTCCCGAGCCTTGGCAGAGGAGTCCATGGTCGTTGCCATAAGTTTCGGTAGTATGCTTGCTACGGCTGCCTGCTTACAACAGACGAAAGCTCTTCCGTAGCTGCCGCTGGCTTCAGTTGACGGGCCGTAAGACGCGTCTCCTTCTCAAGGGATATTTATGCGTGTGACCGCTTGGCCGGAGTATCTCGCTATGTGCACGGCCCGAACGAGCAGCCAACTCGGTGTAAAAGCACATCAATGGTGACGCGTTCCATGACATGGCAGCGATTGTTGGGCCACCTCACTGAACGACAAGGAAAACCTCGTCAGGCTACTGAGCTTGCGTCGTGAGTAGGCCGCACGAGGGTGTTTTCGACAGAGTCTAGTAGAAGGTCAGCGTTGATGAGATGCCGGGTCCATAACTTCACATATGCAACTTGACGTCCTTGTCGGTCATTGTCTCGTGGAGAATAGCTGATCAAACGTTTTCCATGGTACCCGACATGTAGAACAGTCGACGACGAAACCAGCCACCGATATGGCATTGGACACAAGCGTGCTTCGCCTGGTAAGCATACTTGGCTATAACTCGATACGTGAATCATCACCAAGTGTTGCGCCACTCTCGTGAGCCGCCGTGTAGTCGTCAAGAGGGCCGTAGTAGCCGTTCATCCACACTATCACGCTCCTCAAGCGAACACTCGCGAACGGCTCGACATGAAGTGACGCATGCTATTGGACTGGCAAGCGCTAGAAACATATTGTAGCCGCGATAGCACATGAGTTTAGACGTATAGCGCCGTCGTGTTGTTACAGCAAGTGCCACACAGTAGCGTACCCGTCATCCGTCGCAGTGAAGGGCTCTGTGTTGGGCAACGATAGCTGTGGCAATACTGTGTTGACCTCCAATCATAACGCTGACCTTCTACCAACTACGTACCCAAAAGCCGAGGTGTTGGTCCTCTTTAGCCAAGCCTCAAGGACGAGAAGCCTTGCAGATCATGTCGTTGCCTATCATTCCACGCATAGCATCCCCAATTCTGTTGTACATGTTAAGCTTAGCTTCATCGCATCGTGTCCAACTGCCTCGGCCCGGGTGTGTGTATACAAGTGCTAGGTAGAGGAACATTTGCCGTTTTGGCAACGAAAACAACTTGTTACACTCATCTCAACCGTTACATCAGTTTATTGCCATACCCATTCACCATCTCGGCCTAGTGAACATCGTGCAATTGAAGTTAGGTTGATTTTCCTCAGCTGCGTGTAGTTATGTCAATGAACTTGCGATTGAGGAGCATGTTGCTCGTAACCCATAAAGAGAGCAAACTGGCACTGATAGCTGATCCAGCACCGGTCAAATCGTGCTCACACATTCCATCTCGTTCCATCGACAATAATCAAAGGTGCGATGCATTCACGCACGCGTGAAAGTCGCTCTAACTCACTGTGTGGCCGTGGCGGATGGTCCGATTCACTGGACGGGCCACGAAGTGCTACCTGGTGCATATGGGCACCTTTCGCAATACTTTGTTGTTTTTGCGAGCTATCTGTACGGATGAAATTGTAAATTGCGCACCGAAACATCGTGTAGGCTCATGCAGAGGCTCAGACAAGTACAAAGAACACTGAGATGTATGTGGAAAGTTACTTTCTGTGTCAAGTAAATAAGGATTTGTATTTACTTGACACAGAAAGTAACTTTCCACATACATCTCAGTGTTCATACGTATTGCCATTCCAAGCGTTTTTGTTCCAGCAAACTACGCTTGTCTACAAATACATGCGTTCGTTTCGGGCGTCTGCAAAGTGATGATATAGCCTAGAAGGTAGGCTGGAATGGGCAATAATGCTTGTTCGAAGAGGTTTACATTACTTTTATCTCGTCGTAGCACTGCAGGATGCGTGTTCAACACATCCTGCTTTCGCGGTATACTTTGTCAAAAAGGATACCTCACATAAACCGCAAGTCCATGATACATTGGGTGCTGCGCATGTCGTGGATATCAAGTTTAAGGCCATAATGAACATCACGAGCAACGGATGGATTTACGGAGACATATTGCGCAGGCAGCAGGCACCACAGCAATTCTGACCGTTTTGGTATCAATTGCCAAAAAAGCGTTTGGTACTACACTTCCGACTTTACACAACTGCTTTTCTTGTCCTCCTCCAAATTGACCTCGTTTAGTAACTTTACTTCAACTAGCAGCGGTTAAGCACTATCATTTTCATCAATGTAAGTACAATCTCAATCCGAACACAACACAATATAATAGACACGCAGATGATTGAGCTTATCTACTAGCTCGCTCGCCGCCTTTGCAAGATCCTTCAAACTATTACTGTTTTTTGCCATCAGCTACGAAGGTGGTAAGACGGGATGCGTGGCGAACGTGCCGACTTGTGGATGTTGCCAACGTCCCCACACGCGTGACAATCGATCGCATCTTGCAAAAAGGAGAGACGGTAGGGCCATTTGGATGGCGTGATGATGCTAATATCCATCGACTGTAGCTTGATACTTGCTTTGGCTGCATAGGGATGAGCCGTGCATCGTCAAGCTTCAGGTCATCCTGATACACAGCCGAGCACGGTCGGTTATTTGGACGGAGACTTTGTCAAGTCGCTGCCAAAGTGTAGCTTTCACAAAAATTGAGCCACATAAGATAAACTAGAAGACGTGTGTTGCACTGTCAACTGTCAGTTACCCCCACTTTTTCATAAGCCTGCAAGAAGTATGTCAATTTGTGAGCTGTCGGACGATCGGTATCTTGGCGTTAGTCGTCTGCTTGTTTTGCGTTTGGCTTGCGTTTGGCTTGCATTTGGCTTGGTGGTGATATCCCTTCCGGTTGCTACGACTTCCTAATTTACCGTCTGGAATGCATATCGGCAATCTTACGGTTCGTACATCGCACAGAATTCCGATTAGTTGTTAACTTTGCGCGACGAATAAAGTCCGTGGCGACCGAATCCATACATTATCGGAGAGAGCACTGAAGGACACGATCCACTTGTTCTGGCTTCTGACGAAACCCTTTTCTAATACAGGAGATACATTGGCGTCAGCATTTGCGTTCGCGTCGTCGCTCTTGCGATTGATGAGACACCGATCCGTCGGGACGAGACTGCGCGTGTCTACGATACACCAACGGGCGTTTCACTTGAGCTTGCGCCTCTGTGCCTGTTTGTTCATGGGACGCGCCGCCTGTCGCGTCGCCGCAAGTCGAACGAACGTATCGCAAGAGCGCGTCACGTCCTTCGGCTTTCCCTGCTGCCTCTTTTCGTTTGCCGACAGTTGAGCAATCTGATTCCTCCAGCCCATCGTGGCCGAGGTTTTTCGACGCCTACAAAGCGCAAGGCAAAACGCCACCCCACCGGGCGTCTCCCGTGAGGTTTAATGCGCTCCATGTCGCACGTCATCAATCACCACGTAGTTTGGCCGAAAGCATGAACCACGGACGAGGAGCGCCCAGCGGCGGCCCCGCGAGTTCGCACCTCTTGAACTCGCTCCACCGCTGCGCCATCGCGCTGTGCTCCAATCAGGCCGTGGCCGAGGGCGTGTGCTCCATGCACTTGTCCCGAACCGGACGCGAGAGCAGCGCGGGTGGCGCTGTCCTGGACAGTCGCGTGCTGAGTGCACGTGGCCCTCCGCCCTTCTCTGCCGGCATCGACGAGGCGATGGCCGAAGACCAGTACTACCACACCAGTGCGGCACCCGCTGCATTGCAATCGCATGGTGGACCTGCTGTCAAGAAGCACAAGTCGTCGCCTGTCGAGCCTGTGAACCGCTTTGTGATGGACAATTCCGGCGGCGCTCTGACCCGCGAGAGTTTGAAGGAGATGGTCCACCAGATGCAGTACTCCAAGAACTCGGGCGTTTCGGCCTACGAAAATGATCCGTACGTGGCTGCGCAGACGTCGGGCAGCACAAACGGGTCGAATCGCTCCGAGTCAGACGGGTCGCTGGACGAGACCAACTTGCGGCGCGAACGGAATCGCATTGCTGCCCGCAAGAGTCGCCAGCGCAAATTGGACCGCATCTCGAACCTCGAGGACGAAAAGATGCGACTCGAGCAGCACCGTGACATGCTCGTGCAGGAAATTCGGAGTCTGGAAAAGAAGGATGTCGGCACTGCTTCTAGTGTGGCGCTGACCATCTCTGACAAAGAGCAGCAGCAGCTCCAGAACAAGCGTCTGCATATCATCCAGTGCGTTGAGGAGGCATATAACTCGGGTGACATTTTATCGACGGTCAAATTCTTCCGCGACGACTCGATCGTCAGCGGTCCGCAGAACTCGTCAGTGCACTTGCGTGGAAAGGACGCTCTTGTGCTAGACTACCTATGTACGACGTACTTGTTCGGGGATGTCCGACTTCACCATGCCAAGGTGGACTGCGGTGGTCCTCGCAGTCAGCACTTCCGCGTACACTGGACACTCTCGGGCACTATCAAGAGTGCTGGTGTCTGTATGAACAAGGAGTTCCTGGAGCTGATTGAGAGCGTGAAGAGCCGCCGTGTGGACATTGAGGGGGTGAGCAATTTTTCGTTCAGTGGAGACAAAATTGTGTACGTGCACCGCACGGCCGACCAGGCAAAGTTTCTCTCGGCGCTCGTCAACTTGAGTAAGCGGTAGGGAAGGACCGAAAGAATCGGGAGGATATCTTCGGTCAGGCGTCGGGAGGTGAACGTGGAAGCAGCTATATATTTGTGTGCTACTGGGTAGGTTTGCTTGTACCCCGCCATGTTGTCGCTTGCCTGATCGCGTCAGACTCCTGTGACATGGCGCCATAGTTCACCGGTGAACGAGCAGAGTTGGGTGTGTTACGAATAACGATAAAATCGATGCGACTGTGGGTTGATCTGGAGCTGCACTGTTCCAGCGTCAGCCATTGTGGCTCGCGCGACGCGAAGTGTGAGCATTCGATGGTCGATCGATCTTAATTTGTTGGGTACAATTATCAATAAAAATGGATATTGTAGCCTGCGTTGTAGAAAACGTGTTGGTAGAAGTACAACCCACAGTGACTGTCATCAGCTCCGAAAGCCCTGTCCGCGCAACGGTTCGTATGCACAGAGTCCTGCTGTCCTTGATGCAGCAGTGGGGGGAATCGAGGAATTTGTTAGTGATGACACTGAAAGACTCAGCACTAGAACGGTGTTTCATACAGCAGTGGTTCCATTATACGACGTGGACGAGGATAATGTGGCAGGCAAGCACATCTTTCGTGGCCCTGCAGGGGCATTACAGAGGTCATCCAGAGAAACCATTTGGTCAGTTGCCGTCAAAATTGTCACCGCAGATGTGACGATCGTCGACTCATGAGGAGCGATGAACGGTCTCCTGCGCTCTGTTCACGGTACGAGCGAGGTGATTGCGAGACTGCATCTTCCAATGCGAGCGCGTGCCAAATCCAAAGACCGTCTCGATCTGGAAAAGGCAAAACACGAATAACTCACACATCGCTCATGTGACAATCGAAACCGCTTCTTTAGTCATTGTGCCGACACGCTTGCCGTTGCCAAGACACCGCCGAGCTTTGCGAGCACGCGATCTCACCTTACAAAAGACAAAGCGCTGACGAACATATTTACAAATGACTCCCACGCTCTTCTCGCCATCACTCGAGCACACTCAAGTTGTCGAATGCCAGCAGCGATAAGGCGTCGGAGCGAGCACACCACTTTCGCATTAATGCATTGTAGTGGCACATGTTACATCGCGTTGCCGTAACATGCAGACACATTTGCCAAAGGATCTTGCAAGCAACCGGTGCACTGTGAGGGTACACTCTACTTACGAGACCGCTGCTGCGCTCGTCGCACACGGGATCGTCATCGGGCGCGTACTTACCACGACCATCGATGCACGCTAAGTGCGAAGCAGCTCTTCTGTCTTCGAGTCGAAGCACTTGTTCGTTCTCTCCATTGACGATGCAGAGCTCCAGAGCCGCCGCGCGCTGCGTTGGCCGTGTGCGGATGGCGCACATGCGCTCTGCTGCGGCGAGTAGCGCAGACACGACCACGTGCGTGTTGGCGATCCTGCGGCAGCACAGCGTCTTTCTCCACGGCCTCGACGATGCCGTCTATACGTTCCACAGCCCGCTGCTAAACGGTTCGGTGGGCCAACACACACGGCACTCGCTCGACCACCTGCGCATGCCGCTGGAGCTGCTGACTGCACAGCCAGAAGGTGGCAGCGAGGGGAACGTGGTGCACTACGACGTCCGCGACCGCCACACGCGCGTGGAGAAGGACCGCCACGCAGCCATCGAGCAGATCGGGCAGCTGGAGAAGACGCTTCGTGGTGTGCCGCTTGGCAGCTTCACGCAGCCAGTCCAGGCCGCCTTTATGCTGTCGGCCGATGGTCGTGAGTTCGCTTTCGAGTCCACCTTTGCTCGCGAGCTCGCGTTTGCCGTGCACCATTGTATCCACCACAACGCCATGTCAAAGGTGCTGCTACGTCATCACTTTCCACGGCAGTGCGTACCCGAAGGCTTTGGCATGGCCCCGTCCACGGCCAGCTTTCGTATTGCGCACCCTCACGAGTAGGTGAAGCTACTGAATCATATGCACTAATGTTGGCACTGGCCACAAGTCGTAAAGCGGCGGTGACTTTCTAGTGACGTAATCACTAAAACGTGCTCTTGATTTTACAAAATGCGGCAAAGCAACTGCCATGTTCGATGCGATGCCCGTGCAATGCCGAGCGGCCTCGCGCGTATGTAGTAGTTGCGCCGGCTACTCGGGAACGCACAGACGTGCGCTTCCAACAACGTTCGAGAAACCTTCGAAGACCTCAGCTGGATTTCATGGTGTCAGCAAGTGCGACACGAAAAGGATCGGAGGTCACGGATTGGCTACAGATGCGGAGAGGGCCTTCTCTGCAGACACTTCGAAGCCAGTCGACGTACGTCAGATCTCGATTTCCAGTTGAGCCACGAACCACACAGTCGCATCAGTCCAAGATGGGGAGCGCCAAGGAAACCGTGGAAGCCAAGATCGCCGCGTCCCCCGTGGTCGTGTACAGCAAGAGCTACTGTCCGTATTGCATCAAGACCAAGTCGCTGTTGACGCAGTTGGGCGTCCAGTATGAAGTCGTGGAGCTGGACCAGGTCCCCAATGGCAGCGAGCAGCAGAACGCTCTCGAGGAGATCACGGGCCAGAGCACAGTACCCAACGTGTTTGTCGGCGGCAAGTCCATTGGCGGGAACTCGGACGTGCAGAAGATGCACAAGGACGGGAAGCTCGAGCCTCTGCTCAAGCAGCACGGCGCTTTGTGAACGCGTGCGACACAGAGTCGACGCTGCGGCTCGTAAAAGGCCATCCATCGCCTCGTGCGATGCAATAAGATCAATGGAGAACCTTTTGTATCGTTTCTGGTTTGCCTGAGCTTTTCGTTCCGTACCTATCGTCTCGTCCTTCCCTGTCAAAGCTGATACCGACCCCTCCATCTCGCGAAATGTTTCGGAGCGTGAAGTCGAAGAGGAACAAGCGGCGGCGCGTCGCGGACACGGAAGAGAACGCGGGCGCCGCTACGGACCGCACTGTCGACGACGACGTAGCGAGTGCTCCTGCGAGTGCCGACCGACGTCCGATCAACACTTTTACGGTAGAGCTCTGGTGTGCTACTGGCAAACAGAACGGAGTCCTTTGGTCCGTCTACTGATCCGATGGTGTGCTGTTTTGTACGCCCGATAGACTGGAGGCGTGAAGAAGGCCAAGAACGTGCTCCAGACGCGACTGGTCGAGTCCGAGCGTGAGATTGTGCCCCAGAAGTATGCAGGGGACGCCACGTATGAGACGCAAATTGACACAGAGAAGGACCGGTACGATGACGGGTGATGATGGACGGCTGATAGCATTGATAGTTAGTGACCACGTGTACTTCTTTCTTGCCCAGTGATGCGCGTGCGGTCATGGAGCGGAGCATCAAAGCGAACACTGACGGCAGTGCAGATACAGACAGTGGCAACGTCTATCGTGGCCAAGCTGCCTATAAGAGCTACATCACCAAGAAGGAGTCCCAGATTGGCATGAACAAATACACCGGGTTCGTCGTTGTGGAAGCCCCCGATTCGACCAGCAGCTTGCTCTGACGGTCCATTCATTGTCTTGCCACAGCACGCAAGGCCCCATCCGGGCCCAAACATGGGCGCGGGCGATCTGTCGCTTTGACTACCAGCCAGATGTATGCAAAGATTACAAGGAGACCGGTTTCTGCGGCTACGGAGATAGCTGCAAGTTCCTCCACGACCGCGGAGATTACCAAAGCGGGTGGCAGATTGAGAAAGAGTATGCGGAAAAGGAAAAGAAACGCCAGAAGCGACTGAAAGAAGGGCGAGGTGGGTTCTTGAGCACGTGCAGTTTTTTTGCGAGATGTTCTCACTTGAGCTTACGTTCATTTCATTTGGGTGGATCTTGGCCAGACGCTGATCAAGACAGCGATGAAGAGACCAAGAGCGGGGACAAGAAAGACGGCGAAGAGCAATTTGCCTGCACGATCTGCCGCGGTCCGTTTCGCAACGCCTTGGAGACAACGTACGTGCGTCAGATTCGTATAGCGTCGTGAGCAAATAGAATATAATGCTCCTCCTTTCGTACGTGATTCACACTCACTCGCCGTGCACATTCCTATAGTTGCGGCCATTTCTTCTGCGAAACGTGTGCTTTGAAGCACTTCAAAAAGTCGTCGCGATGCTTTAACTGCAAGAAGCAAACCAACGGTACGCGGCGGACAAAAGATTATGCTGCGATGTAACAGTACGCTGACACAACTGTGACCCGATGCAGGCATCTTTAGTGTGGCCGAGAAGTTGCGAGCGAAAGAGAGAGAACAGCATGCTACGGATGCTAACGCAGCTGGCACGTCTATACGATCAAACTGCGTTACTGCGGTGACGGATGCAGCAGCAGATGTAGAGGAGAACAGTAGCGGAGGCTGGACGAGAGTCACTGAAGCTTCATGATACACTGCAGCAGCAGCACTAAATGGACGCAATACAAGCGAACAAGTGTCTCTTGCTTGATCATTCGTTATACTCATAAACCGCTTGACGCCCACATCAACATCATCTTACAGCTTTTCAACAATAAATAAGGAGCGACCATTCTCGCTCGAGCAACCTTCCTGCTGACGCGTTAATCTAGTAGTCGGCTTCCTTCCCCAAGATCTTCTTTGCGTACGGATGGAACACAATCCACCCGACGAGAAACGGATTGATCAACTCCACAATGCCATTGTTCCAGACATTGAACGTTGTACGAGTCCGTGAAGGCACCATGGCAGTCTCTTGGGTCAACGATATAAACGAGCGCCCTGACTGGGACAAGAGCAGCGCACCAACTAGCGCTATGGTGTTCCACGTGCTCATGCTCAACGACGCAACTTGCACCCAGACCTTCATGCCGGCGATGCCAAACAGCACAGACACGACGTAATCTGACCCCCACACTTTCGGGGACGTATACCTCCAGCGCCAAAAACAACGAGGCAGTAGCCGACTGGCCGCCAGACCAAACAGGAAGTGGCCGAACTCAGCCGACACGATCGTAATGAAGAACGCGTCAAGCTCCTGCGGTACATTATTGGCGCCCGGGTGTTCAACAAAGTCCACCATTTCCATCATAATGACCGTCAAATGGAGCAGCGCGACGGTATCCAACGCCACCATCAGAAAGCATTCCAGCAGTTTCTTGGACGCAATGATGCGCGAAATGGCAATGATCATCCAGCCAGACTGAGCCACGAATAGGTAGTCGACAATCGCTATCTTCGTCAGCGACTCCGTGTAGTAGACGTACATTGTGTTCATGGCCGTCACAGTCAGCGCAGCCACATGGACAAAGATGGCAAAGCCGTCACCGGGCGTGGGCGCAAAGCAGGCGCACAAGACACCAGCGAACGAGCCCACGCCCGCGCACACGGTCACAGAGCTCTCCGTGAGCACAGCGATCGCGACACTCGCTGCAGCCACAGCCGATGCTGACAGTACCGCCGCGACTACGGCAGCTCCCCACACGTCCTTCAGCCACCTGTCGGTCAAGCGGGCGACCGCAAACGCCTTGGGCTCCATCACGTCTTCGAGCTCGCGATCGTAGTGCTCGCGGTCCGACTGCGACAGCTCCGAGTCGCCCGCGCCCGGTCCAATGTCCGCTACGGACGCATCTAGTGACGCGAGGAACCGGTGGCGAATGCGGTAGTGCCACCAGCTGATCTCGAGCATACCCACTGCGAGACAGACCTGGAGGAGGTACACGGAGTAGATGGAGTGGCCCACGTTGATGGAGTAGAAGACGGTCGCGAGCAGCACCGCGAGCGCCGAGAGCGGGGCGAGCAGTAGGAAGAGGCGACTGCGGGGCGACGCCGTTTTGCGCGGCGGCGGCGGCGGCTCGTGCGGTCGGCCCGAGTGGAGGCTGTAGCTGCTCTCCAGAGGTTCGACGCACATTGCGGACGACTGGGCCGCCCCACACTGCAGAGAGGGGCGCGAGCGAAGCGGTACGGGCGATGGAGACGGACAAAGCAGCGGATTGTTTCTGTCCGTCGACGCGCGGGCTGTGTCGTCGGTGGAATGTCTGGCGCTGAGCGTCTGCGCTACAAACGCCAAGTGGCGACGCGACTGATTGCAGCCCTAGCGCTACAGTCCGTCCGGTCACAGGGCAAGCGACTGACTGACTGACTGACTGCTGAATCAACGGAGCGAGTGCTTCGACAATCCCAAACTGAGTCCAATGGCTTTCCATCGACTGCTTCGCCACTGGCAGTCGGACGTCCATTCTGTGCCAACGAGTGACAGCTGAGATCGGAAGCTGTCTGCGACATAGACGTCTGTCTGAAGCGGCGAGACCGCAACGCGATTGACGGGCAGAATGCGGGGCGTGCAGAGGCACGAGACCTTATGGGCCGTCCGACTTTCTGCGGTACGATCATCGGTTTGCGTGCACGTGCATTGTAGAGAAACGCTCATAGAGACACGACGGAAGTGCTACGAGACTCGTGCACCGTTTCGCGCTCGACGACACCGAAGCGCCAAACAACTTGCGCGGTTGGCTCCTACTTTCTTCGGTCAAGTCTTCCCGCGCGCCTACAACTCCTCACAGCGCGAATGAGACTTCCGCCAAAAGCACCGAACAACAAGACAGTAGTTCGTCGCGTCGGCGTCCCATACCTCTTCAGTCGAAAGGAGCTGCAAATCGAAATAGAAAGGACAGACATCCAGTTCCGCGTAGGGGTCGGGCTTCAAGGACTGCCGCGCGATATCCGGCCCTGCTGCCCTCGTCTGCTTGTTCGCCCACGGCGCCTATTAAGCACTGAGTGGTACGCAGCCAGCGCGCGATGCAAACGAGCGACAAAGGGCGTAGTACCAGTAGTCGATCGTACGGAATCGCGTCCACGAAGAACATCGACCATTTGCAGGCAGCAGTATACTGAGAGCCATTCGGACTCTACCAGCGGTCTCTTGAGACCTGCAGTGGCACTGGCAGAAGAAATACGTGCGTGCGTGTCACATTGTTGCTCGAAGATCGTGCGAGCACTTAATTTTCGTCACCGCTCATCGTTGTGGGCCGGCCGTCAAAAGACATTTCACGCTCTCTTTGACAACGAATCGGTCGGGGGACAGAGACCCCATCGACGTGGCAACGGTGAACGAACACTTGTGGGACTTTGTGCGATGTGCAAAGCGAAAGATTACATTTACGCAATCTTGACGATGAAGAGTACGCCGAAGTTCATAGAAGGACGTCGTTGCCGCGCTAAACCCGATAAAAAACAAAAAGACGGACAGATAACGGCAACATGCACCTCGTCAGACAACAAACATAAACGTTTATTTATTCCGTGCGTATGAGAAGGTTTAAGGTCTAGAGCGAGTGAGTTGTCGAATGTTGACCAGCCCGTTAGAAACTGAAAGAGTATGGTAAAACCATTAAGAAAACCATGCTATAAATTGCAAGTATAAGAATTATTGAATGATCGACGCTCGATCTGTACCGACATTTCTTACGACATTACCAGTACTTTAGAGTGCAACACACGCTTCCCGGTGCTCAATTGCATATCATAAATCATGTGTAACGGATCGCTGAACGCTTGTACTGCCACAGTACAAGCTACCTACAGTGAACACAGTGTAGGTAGGTGCCTCAAAACTTCACGCACACAACAAGCAAAAGAATGTGAATCTACTAAACAACGGTAGTAACACAGATCGGACCACTTCTTCTTGTGCCATCAGCAATGCTCTCATGACACCCATTTATTCTTATTTGTGCGCCTGGTACATTGCGTAGAAATCTCTTTTCTCATCGACGATAATTCAGCATCACCATCATCATCGGAGTTTGCAACAGCTTTGTCGCTATTGCTAACTTCGGCCTATTCTTTCATTCACATCACACCGGTCTCTTTCGTATTACAGTTGACGTGGGCGTGTAATAAGAAGACTCAAGCCAGTTTCGCTTGAGCGAGTCTCCCTCCTCAAACAAGAGTCGCACTTTTACAAGATAAGGGCTCGCGGATGTAGTGAGTCATACACGAAGGATGGTGTATGCATGGTAGATGCAGGGACCTATTGTTTACTAACGAAATTGTCCATCGGTAAGAGCTCACCCCGGCTTGCAAACGAGTGGACGTGCCCTAGAAGTAGGATTTTAGGACAAGGTTAGTACGCTCAGTCTGATCATCTCTTTTCGCATATTGATCAGTCGACGTCCTGTGTCGTGTTGTGAGGAACGATATACCGATTGCAAAAATTCATCCGTATGGGTAGAATATGAGCTCACGGGGTATATTATGTAGTCGAAGTACCGTGGCGATAATGACACGAGCACAGATATATAGGGCTCCTACCCGGACCGGAACCCCCCGGTGGTTTCCTCCCCCCGGGTGGGGACCGGGGGGTGGGCTTTAGGGAGTACGTCATGTTAGAAGTCATTGTTTTTGACAGGAAACAAGGTCCTGCAGTTCAAGTGCAAGACCCGTTACAGGTAAGCTGCGACCCCACCTGATTGGTTGAAATGTGACAGGTCGACACTTGGGACGAAGAGAGACGGACGCCATGTGACAAGATGACACGTGGGACAGAGAGAGACGGAGACCATGTGCAACTTGACCTGGTCAGGTTGTAGTTCTGTTTCGGTCTATGTATAACGTAGTGTTGACAGGAGAAATGGTTAACACTGAATATATTTCACTTTTACTTTCACTTTTGTAACGGGGCACTGTTGACTACGTACTGGTTGACCAGTACGGAGTATACTATCACTGACGACAGTGGTCGACAGTGCCCTGCTAGGTGTTAAATGAAACACAGAGGAAGGAAAGGAGACTAAGTAGTCAGACTAGTCTCTGGTAAAAGTAGAACTGTATTAATATGATTAAGTCCCATAAATTCTTGAATCTCTGTTGTCCTGACTTAATTATAACAATGTAACTGAATGTATGATGACGTCTACTCACCACCCATTGCGCGCGTCTAGCAGCGATTGGAGGGTTGATATCATCACGATATCAACCAATGAGTAGACCCTTCGGTCATCCCAACAATATCACCACGTCTGTGATATTGTTAAAAGAATATTCGACGTGATATCATCTATTGTCAAATTATTCTTAATGCCAATTTCATGTAACAGGCTACCCCGTAACAACTTTTCTCTGCACGAGTGCAACTACAACATACTTTCTAACAGGTTATAAGCCCAAACGAAGGTGTTGGCGGCGCGGCCCTCAAGGCCAAACCCGCTGTGGTGGACGATGGTCAGGGTTTGATGATAGACCCCGATCGGGAAGAAAAGTCGGCAGTGCCCGCAGCGGCACTTGACAATATGCTCGCCATGCTAAGCGACTTGTCGGAACGGATGGGTAGGATGAAATTCTCCCAATCCGGACAAGTGATCGGCAAACGCAAGGACTCCGCGGAGTCAAGCATCTTTGGTTCGGTTCTGGGTTCAAGCGCGGGTATTAACCTTCAAGCTTTGGTACATACCCCGCCTCCCAAACGCTCACCGGATATCTCGCCGGCCACCTAATTTGGTGCACGTCGAGCAGCTGATGCTCGGGTACACGTTCCTGACCCGCCAGCGGAAGCAGCTGCGAACTACGGAGCGGCTCAATATCCTGAGCCTGGTTTCCAAGGACAGGAAATGCCTGCAGGAGCATACCCGGGTATTCACATGCCAGGTCCGATGTTTTATCAACCTGGACAGGTGCGTCAAGGCGTTCCGGACGGTCTCAAAAGGAAGCTGGCTTTGCAACCCTTCGATGGAAAGGAACTCTACCATGGGCTTGGTAGTGGTTTCTTGGAATGGGGCAAAGAATTCATCCGTCAAGTCGGCTTCTCAGAGCGCGCCTGTGGATTCGTTTGGCCAGAAGACATCAAGGTTGATGTTCTGGGACAACATCTTGCTGGCACTGCCCAGAAGTACTACCGTCGGCAGGTTGAAACATGGTGGTCTGAAAGCCAAACCTTGGAGCATGCCATGCAAAGGATGCTTCAAACATTTACCACTAAGATCACACCTGTCCAAAGCATGAAACTGTTCACCGCGGCTAAGTCTCTTCAACGTAGCTGGACAGAACATTTTTATGCCTTACGGCTGTGAGTGATGCGTGCGGAGGCGCAGACAACTTGTTTTGGACAACATTGTCCATTATGCTGTCCCTTCAATGCAAATGACAATGTTGTCCCGACTGAATTTGAACAGGGTCGACTACCTTCGACAGGTCGAAGAGCTGGCTCAATTCGCTCAATCGACGGAGATAGAAGTCCGTGTCAAGAACTTCGGTCGAGATGTCATGAACTTCGTCGAAGCAACAAAGAAACCAAGGAATATCACACCTGACAAGAAGCAACATGATGTTCGAGGACCCAAGAGGTGTTACCTATGTGGCAGCACATGACATTTGAAGGCATCGTGTTCGAAGAAGACTCGCAAGAAACAAGACACATATTATTCGTCCTTGCAACTTACAGTACGGACGAACACAAGACACACGCGATCACCAAGTGGGTGATTAACAGCGGCTCAGGACGTCATTTAGTCAATGACCTGAGTCTGCTGGAAGATGTGGTAGACTGCAACCCTGAATGCTTTACCGCAGCTTTGGGTGGAGGAACGCTCAAGATCACGAAGCAAGGAAGTGCAATGATTCAAGTCAAGGCGCTTGGGGTCGCTAAGACCATCCGACTTCTTGATGTTCAATACGCCTCCAATTTGGGGCGTAACATCATTTCCTTTGGAAAATTGGAAAAGAAGGGATGTATTCTCGAATATCGTGGAGGAAAGCGTGTGATGATCTCCACCCTGGTGGCACACCTATGATGGAAGTCGTACGTGTTGATGATGTGTTGATTGTGGAAGTTTTCAAGGATAATTTACTGGATGATTTCCGAGTCTCCGGGTCACCGAAGGAAGCGGTCATGGGAGTCGTGCATGAAAATAGAGA